CCTATAGCCTTCTCTCAGTTCTCCAGGCTTATGTGGACACGGGGCCAACTGGCTCTTACCTAACTGCCTATAGCCTTCTCTCAGTTCTCCTCTAGGCATATGTGGACAGGGGGCCAACTGGTTTGGGGTGATCCAGAAAAGGATGATCCATGTGAAAGGAATGCTGTGCATCTCCCGGAAGAGACTACCGATAGAGGTTCTAGCAATTTGACCGCTGTTTCTCTTCTGCAAACCAGGTCATCAGTCCCATGGGATGGGATGCGTTTGGATTGCCAGCCGAAAATGCAGCTATTGAGAGGAACCTGCATCCAGAAAGTTGGACGCAAAGGTATGTGTTGCTGTCTTTATTAGGGCACTTGTATACAGAAACTTTCCGACCTTTTTAAAAAAACAATAAAACAACGAACCCTGCGCAAGAAATTGGAAACAAAGGCCCAGAATGAAAAACCATATCAGTGTGAATGGGGTGGGTGAGGGCACAGAGATGAGACCCTAACCCCATCTGTAGACAATCAGACATTCCCTTACAGAAGAGTCACAAGGGAGCCAGTCAAGGTGCAATATAGCTCCGAGGAAAAACACAACTTTCCTCTAATTCTTTAATGCTTCATACCCCTCCCCCCACACTATCATGATCTCAAGTCTATTTAGAAATCTGACTAGAGTATGTACACGGGTACAGTTAAGAGCTCTCAACGCAGGGAATCCAGGACAGATAAACCCTTCGGGACCAATAATGAAAGTAGTGATACCAGCAGGATAAGGGGAAAGTGCAGGGAGAAAGGGGGAATCGCTCACAATGATCGACATATAATACCTCCCCCACTTCAGGGGGGGTGAATAACAGAAAAGTAGGTGAAGGGAGGCAGCGGATAATGTAAGATATGTGTCCTTTGCCCTGAGACCAAAAGAACAGCATCGTTGGGTAAGCCTTGGGCTGCTAACCACAAGGTTGGCAGTTCAAACCCACCAGCCACTCTGCAGGAGACGGATGCGACTGTCTGCTCCCAGAAAGATTTATAGCCCTGGAAGCCCAGTGACTGGGAATCACTATGAGTCGGGATCCACCCAATGACAGTGGGTTTGAGGTTTTTTGTTTTTGTTTTTAGTTTTCTTTGTACATGAGAGTTTTTCTTTTGAATCCATTTAACATTTTTAAATGCAAATTTTAAATGTGTGCATATGACAGATGTGTGGTTGGGGCTAGAAGGGCATGTTGGAAAGGGGACGCTGTCCGATTGGCCAGGGGTAATGGTAGTCCCCAGAAACAAAGATTAGTATTGGGGTTTCTAGTGGATTCTCTAGTGTATGTCCAAAGGATAGTGTATTTTGGTATTCGCACTGATTCTTAGTGATTTCATCCCACCCCACCCCCCCACCCTGCCCAGGGAAAATAACATTTAACTCCCTCTTTTTTAAAAATCATATTATTGGGGGCTCTTACAGATATTATAACAATCCATAAATAGATTATATCAAACAAACTTGTACAGTAATGTTGCCATCATCATTTGCAAAACACTATCTTTCTACTTGAGCCCTTATTATTAGCTCCTCTTTTTTTCTCTCCCCCACCTTCCCATCCCCATGAACCCTTGATAAATTACATATTATTATTTTCAACATTTTACACCATCCACTGTGTCCCTTGGCCCCTGGTTCTGTTATCCATCACCCTTGGGGATTGGGGTGGGTGTTATACGTCCATCATTGCTATCGGTCCTCCCACCCCCACTAACCCTCATGGTATCGCTTTTCCCATTGCAGTTTCAGAGTTAGCATCCTCTTGAATAATTTGTGGGAGAAAGACGAGGCTGTCTGCTCCCCTATGCACACCCTCAGCCGCCCTCTATACATTGGCCCTGGCGGCAGTGGGTTTGGGTCTTGGTTTGTTTTTGACTCATCCTATCCTCAAAGTGTTGCTTGCTGTGGCTCTCTTTCCCGCACCCTGTCAACACCGCTCTCTGTCCTCTTGTCTCACAGTAACATCAGACACATGAGGAAGCAGCTTGATCGCCTGGGCCTGTGTTTCAGCTGGGACCGGGTAAGGCGCCCACTGCGTGGGGCTCAGCGCACGTTCACAGCCTCGCTTGGCTTTGAGTTGGGGAGAGAAGGGCTGAAGCAGGAGGGCGCAGGCACGCTCTGCAAAGAAACTGTCTCCAAACGAGTCCTTTCCATGGGACACCACGAAGGAGGGCTAACCTGTTTCGCTTCTGACTTGCCTGCCATTTGCGTGTTTAAGAAACTCTGCATAAGGATTTCGTCTGTCCTCAGCCATGCAGTTTCAAAGTCTATTTTAAAAGTCTGTGTAAAAATGATGAAATATCACCCGTCAGCTCTTTCCCGGTGATTGATTTGGTGTCGGGGTGATTGAACCTTTTGTTCCCAGTTGGGAAGTGAGGCTCTTAACAGCCCATAATACATCCTGGTATAAAATGCTTTGAAAGTGTATATGAAGCCAGGAGGCTTGGATGTGTGCAACATTTACAGGATATGTGAACTGAAGACCTTTGAGCTCTGGGGAAATGTGGCAAAAAAATAGTTCGATAAATCTTAGACCAGCGCTTGGCAAACTATGCTCTGTGGGGCATAGTTTGGCCCACTGTTTGCTTTTGTAAATAAAGTTTTATTGGCACACAGTGAGACCTATCTGATTGCATCTGAGCTGTGGCTGCTGTTATGATAAAATGGCAGAGTAGTTGCCACGGGGACCTTAGGATCCACACAGCTGGAAATCTTTACCACCTGACCTTTACCAACCATTGCATTGACAAGTGGCCCTTCAGGTAGCATGAATCCCCACTGGTCCCTCCATGGTGGGCCCCTTCCAGTGTCCTCACTCCTCCTTGCATCCTGTTTTCTCCACGAAATGACTGAAGCTTCATTGCAGGGCCCATCGAGGAGGCAGAGTGTACCCAGACCAAACGGCCTCTCCTCCGATCATTTCTTAAATGGTTGAGCTCTGATGAGCACAGTGGAAAAGATAGTCAAGCTCCTTTGAACAGGCCTTGTTTCTGTTTTGCTTTGTTCCTCTTCTCTTTTTGCTTCCACTTCACAATGAAAAGATATGGCCCGAATTTCTCTCTAATTATACTGCTGGTGTCATTTTTACCAATGACTTGCAAGGTTGCCCGTGTTTCATGTAGCGGAGGTGTCAAAATGTCCTGGTGCCTGGGTTAAGGTGTCCTGAGGCTCCAAACAGCTGAGACCTAATGAAACACAAGCTGAGGCAGAGAGAACTGAGTAATACCCCCATGGCCTTCACTGATGAGCTGTGAGATGCCTCCCAGACAGAGATGGACTCATTAACCCTCCAAGATGAAAACCAGCCTCATTCTGATGAAAAGGTTATTGCATTATTTTCTCTATTATCATAAGCAATGAGAAAAACAAAACAAAAGCATTTACAAAAAAGAATGTAAGCCATTGTGACTCATGTGGTTGCCATCTTGACTTGGCTCCTGGTTGTCTTTTATTCGGGACTTATAAACATCTATTGAATTTGCTTTTATAAAATTGAATTCATCATGCATGCCCCTTCCCCCAGCCCCATTTGTCATAATCATGCTTATTTGTCCAGTTGTGAGAAGTTTGTTTCGTGTGTCCAGTTTGTTCTCTCTGAGTTGAAGTGTAATCGGGACTGAAGGCTGTAGTCTGATTTTCATCAGCAAGTGCTTCAAATCTTCATCATTTTCGGCAAACACGATTGTGTCATCTGCATATCACAGGCATTAATGAGGCCTCTTCCAATCCTGGTGCTGCGTTCTTCTTCATATAGTCCAGCTTCGTGAGCGATTAGTTCAGCATACAGATGGGATTCGTGAAAAGATACAACCCTGACGCACATCTTTCCTGATTTCAAGTCTCACAGTAGATTCCCTTGTTCTTTGATTGCCTCTTGATCTATGGCCAGGTCGCTGATGTATATACAGGTTCTAATTGTGTTTGAGCACAATTAAGTGTTCTGGAATTCTATACTTTCAGCCAATATTCGTCAGACGTCAGTAATAATATCCCTTGTTCCATGTCCTCTTGTGAATCCAGCCTGACTTTCTGGCTTTTTGCTGTTAACGCCCTGCTGCAAAATATTTTTAAACTATTTTAGCAAGATATTACTTGCATGTGACATGAATGACATTGATTGTTCGTGTCTGCATGCTCGTGGATCACCTCTCTTTGGAGGGGCCACGAATGTGGATCTCTTCCCCTCAGTTGGCCCCGGTGGTTTCTTTCAGGTGTCTCTGCACAGATGGGTTGAGCGCTTCCAGCAATGCAACGGTTTCAGTGCCTGGAGCTTCCTTCTTCGCCCAAACCCTCAGTGCAGCTAGGGCTACTTCCTTCACTCCGACTGGGTCTTGATCATATGCTGCCTCCTGTAATGGTTGGACATCAATCCGAGTAGCATTGACCTTAATGGCAAATGAAGGTCCTTAAAGGGACCTGCTGCTGTGGCACAACTCAAAAGGAGAAGAGATAGTTGCACTCGTTCCTTAACCATTGGAGCAGGAGATGTCTGTGTTCGGCTGGGCTCTAGAAAGGCAGACACAGTGACGCTTGTATGTGTATGTACACAGAAGGAGATTTATATGAAAAAAATGGCTCACAGTTTTAGAAGTAGGTAAGTCCAGCCCTGTTGAAGTCCATGGGCCAGGTGTAAGCTGGAGGCTACTCCTGACTCCTTTAGCTGCAGGGGCTGACAAACAGAAGCAGAAAGACCTTAGGCTGCTGGATGCCGAGCTGCCATCCAAGGGTGGCAGACAGCTGATGGCTCCTGGAATCAACAGGCGATGTAACAGGAGGTCTACGAACCAGATGCAGGATCCGAATCCAGCTGTAGCAGCCCACTAGCTTCCACACACGGTCAGTTTATATTAAGAGGAGGCCACATCCTGAATGAAACAGAAGATCCCATCACGGACTTGACCATACTATGTTCAGTCATATCCTATGGGAGAATCCTGGTCCACCCAAGTTTACTTAAAGCCTAATTATCACAATGTATGAAATTTGTTGTTGTTGTTGTTGTTGTTGTTGTTAGGTGCCATCGAGCTGGCTCCAACCACAGTGTGAGCCCATTGACACGGCTCCTGTGCCACTCTGTCTCATTTAGGTCATTCTCTCTTGTCACCACCCCTCCACTTTACCAGCCATGATGATCTTCTCCAGGGACGGGTCTCTCCTAACATTATGTCCAAAGTATGATGGTATAAAATATGTAAGACAAAGTCTTGCCATCCTTGCCGCTAAGGAATAGTCTAGTCTTACTACTTCAGATACAGACCAGTCTGTCCTTTTAGCAGTCCAGGGTACTTTCAGTATTCTTCTCCAGCACCATGATTCAAATGCATCCATTCTTCTTTGATTTTCCTTATTCGGTGTCCAACTTTCACATGCATGTGATGCAGTGGAGAATACCATGGCTTGGGTCAGGCGCACCCTGGTCCTCAAAGTAACGTCCTCACTCTGGAATACTCTACAGAGGTCTGTGCAGCAGATGTACTCACTGCATTGTGTCCTTTGATCACTTGACCACCGCTTCCATGGGCACTGATTGTAGATCCAAGTAAGACAAATCCTTGACAGCTTCAACCTTGTCTCCATTAATCATGATGTTACCTGTTGGTCCAGTTGTGAGGGTTTTGGTCTTCCTTACATTGAGTTGTCATCCATGCTGAAAGCCACAATCTTTGATCTCCATCAGCAAGGGCTTCGAGTCCTCCTCACTCTCAGCAACCAAGGTTGTGGCATCTGCATTCCACAGGTTGTTAAAAAGCCTTCCTCCAATCCTGATGCCGAACTCTTCTTCATATAATCCAGCTTCTCTGATGAATTGCTCAGCGTATAGATGGATCAAGTGTGGTGAGAGGATACAACCCTGGTGCACCCTTTTTCTGATTCTAACCATGTCGTATTCCCTTACTCTGTTTGCTGCTTGATCCATATACAAGTTCTGAATATGCACAATTAAAAAGTATGGAATTTCCATCCTTAAGGTTATTCACACTTTATTATGGTCAACACCATCGAATGCCTTTTCACAGTCAATGATACACAAGTAAACATCTTTCTGGTATTCTCTGCTTTAAGGCAAGAGCCATCTGACATCAGCAGTGATCTCCCTTGTTCCACATCCTCTTCTGCCTCTGGCCTCAACCGCAGGCAGTTCCCTGTCAATGTACTGTTGGGTGATCTTAAGCCAAAGTTTATTGTGTGCGGTATCAGTGATGTTGTTCTATAGTTTGAGCGTTCTCTTGGAATGAGCAGAAATAGGGGTCTCTTCCCTTCAGTTGGCCAAGTAGCTGTCTTCCAAATTTCTTGGTATAGATGATGAGCACTTCCAGTGCTGCTTCTGCTTTCTGAAACAGCTCACTGGGTTTTCTGTCATTCCTGGAGCCTCGTTTCTGACTAATCCGTTCAGTGGTTTGAACTTCTTCCTTGGCACCAATTGGTCCTTGCGCATTTGCTGCCTCCTGAAATGGGGGCCGTGAATGGACTGTGAGTCTGGTAAAGTCACAGCCATCTTCAGAAAATGAGAGCGAATGCAGGAAGCTCAATGTTCTAGGCATTAGTGAGCCGAAACGCACTGCTATTGGCCATTTGAATTGGACAAACTCATGGCCTACTAGGCCAGGAATGACGCATTCCAAAGGATTGGCATTGTATTCATGCTCAGAAAGAACATCCCAAGGTCGATCCTGGAGTACATTGCTTTCAATGATCGTATGGTAGCCATATGCCTGCAAGGGAGACCAGTTATTAGGACTATCATTCAAAGCTTTGCACCAATCACTAGTGCCAAAGGTGAAGAAATTGGACATTTGACAAATTTCTGCATCCTGAAATTGATCAGATATGCAATAAGGATGGGTTGAGAATTCCCAGTGATTGGAATGCAGAAATGCGAGACAAAGATCCGGGGTTGCAAAATATGGCCTTAGTGATAGACTTGATGCCAGAGATCACATGATGGAGAAACTCAATATTATCAGCCAGAACCAGGCCAGTGGCCAACTGGAGCAGACCATCCTTGGCTTCTGTGCAAGT